TTATTTTGTTCAAGTAAACAACGATAAAGAAATGATACCCAGAAACTTACTGGATTCCGTAATCAATAAACATACGGAAGATTATGCTATAGATTCAGACAAAATGCGACAAAGAAGAGAAAACTTGATCTCGTTATTTACATCGGTACGGACGATTTTATTTTTGTGGTTCAATAAGATAAATGATAATCTCACCTAATATGAAATTTTTTTTATTCATTTCATATTCGAAAGCAACGAATTCCGGTGACACACAACGAAAATGATTCTGTTATCCATATAATGGGTCGTGCTCATATTGCACCACCATATGTAGTATCTTCTGTTGAATGTGATAATGAAATAATTTTGGAAAGAGTAAAACATATGATCACACAATTGCCTTTAGACTAACGAATAATATTTCAGCAAATCAAGTTAATGAAAATTAGAGAAATTGTGCTCATAAACGTGAATGTAGTGGTCAAATTGGAGGCACCGAGGAAGTAAAATTAAAAATCTTTTCGGTGCACTATGATTCCACGAAAAATTGATATATGTCTAATAACTCCCGGGACCAAATCCATGAAGTAAAACACTTCAGAGGAATTTGCTGTTTTCGGTTTAATATTTCAAATTTAAATATTCAGAAAACTTCCCTTACGAATTTAGACAGTTAAGTATAATATTTGATCATGCGTTGATTCTACATATTGGAATTTTGGTGATATTTACGAATAAGATCTGCCAATCAGATAAATAAAAATTATGATTATTGCGAATTTGTATTACATTAAATTCACATTGATTGGTTGTAGATTGGTTGATTTATTTAGCACGATATAGAACCCTTTTAATCTTGCGGATTGAAATTCTCATATCTATGTTAAACAAAACCAAAGTTCAAAGAACCTAAAATAGTGTTTCAAGAACCCAAAATAGGCATAACTTTTACAAGTGACAATGCCAAAGGGCCTGACACTAGGGTTGTGGGCACAGGCATGCCCTTCAGATTGAACCTAGCTGCCGCACCAAAATTTCACGGAATTCCTCGATTTTGATTGGCTAACGGCCGTGATCTACAAAATT